TTTTCAATTTCCCCCTCCTCTCATAGAATTCAGTTGAAGTGACTGGGGCAAGGTAACTCTAAGTATAAGTAGGGATATAAAAGTCAATTAATTTAAATTTTACAAATAGAGCTTTTTGAATAGACCATTGCGAAAGTTTCATTAATTTGTTCAACCCATTATAGTGGCAATGTGCAGCCATACTTTAGTAATTAATCCATCTAAATTCTAATGCCAGATGATTCTACTCATCAAGGAGAGAATATTCTGCTACTCAATGGATTAATATATTCTCAGATTAAAAATTTATTTAATTTGATGGTTTATTCTCAGATTAAACCATCAAATTAAATAGATTTTGCTGGCAAAATATCCCAATTTAGGGACTATTCATTTTATTATACACTAGGGTAGAGTGGGAAAAAAAGGGAGGGGGTCGTTGATTTGTTGATCCTTTTGGGGGGGGGGGGTTGAATGTTGTAAAAAACAGAATTATAAGTGGTTTCAGAAAATATTTTACTACATATTAGTTGCCAAATGACATGCAATTACATTGATTATACTATTAAAACACTATAAATAAGAAATTAAGAAAAATATAGGATGAATTGTTGTAATAGAGATATATAATTTTAAGACAAATCATCTAAAGGAAGCATTCTAGCTCTAATAGTGCACGTTGCAAAATATATTTTCTTCATAGTCAGGCATTCACATGTATGAAGGTTAGAATTGCATCATGTTATATACTGTAGTCTCAAACATTTAGGTGGTGGTCTCCATTAAGAGATTAAAAAAGGCGGTTCCATGACATTTTGACATAAGAATGTCCCACCCCACCCTAGGGTACAATGAATGGTTCCTTAAAGTACATGCCATCTTCCTAACTAGCTCTAACTGGCTGGGCACCTTGCCCCTTTTGTGATGTGATGGAACGTCTATTCCCTTACTTTATCCCTGGGAACAAAAATTCAAATCAACTCTCCTGCACCCTGATAATGTGCAGATGGTAACAGCAAAAATTGAAGCATGCAATCTTTACTGGGGTACGTACTATTAGAAGCACAATTTGCACATGTTAATTTGCCAGTCATGATTGTAAACGTAACATTTCTTATCTCATATAGAATTCTTAAGGTCTTGTTTACATTTTACTGGAAGCAAAGTAAGATGCATCATGACCAATAAAAAATATGTTTTGGGTCATATCACTCATATGTCAGCTTTGGAGCTTCAACTACATTTGTCTGTGAAGAAAACGTAAACAAGGAAATTGCATACAGCACTTCCACTTCGTCTGTATTTAAAATGTTAATGAATATATATTCCAACCATTGGCAGTTATATCAGTGACTTTGTCAACAATAGACCAATAACATCATATAGATCCAAAAATATTTATTTGAATCACTGTATTATTATTCTTCATAAACTCGCTCTAATCGTCGCACAGCAGAGACTTCGGAAGGGTAAACACCAGGTTTAATGAACATACCCAGTTCAAAACACTTTCCGCATCCTCTTAGGCAAGTCTGTGCAGCTGGAGAACATCTGTCGTAATACTAAATCTATTTTTCGCATATTTCAGCTGTTAATTTTGCTTAGCGAACGAACAAGTTGGCATATAAAAGTTGAAGAATTTGATTTCGAATACGTTTGTAGCAAAAAGAAGGATAAATTTTCAAGAATAATGTATGTTTTCTTCTTTCTTAATATGTTTTCTTCTGTTTTCTTCGTCGTCGAGAAATCGAGTTTGCGTTCGCGCATCGCAGGCTCCGGGTGCAACGATTATGCCAAAATGCCATCGATTCCTTCCTTATATATGAATTATAGTAACAAGCTCGTATTTATGTACGTAATAGCCGGCTCATGCCATGCTTGTGGTACATTTTTCGTTTATTAGCCCATATATAGACTTGTACGCACGCGCACAATTCCGAACTCCAAGGGTGACATATTCCGTCCAGTTTCAAAATGGTGGATTTTGGCTGAGTGATCAAAATATATTTCGCACAGTTTCGTTGAATTTTCAAAGAGTTGTGCCAGTTTCCTATGGATTTTACGTAGCGTCGCACTCTAGACTTTCTTGCGTGTTGAATTAATGTGTTTTTCTTTGTGTAACGACTCGAAAACCCCAAAATTTGAACCCAGCGAATTTTAATATACAACATAGTGGAATATACATAGTGGAATACAATTAACAAGGACAAGTTAAAGGTTTGACAGTTTGACTTTCAAATAAACAACTATAAATATACGTTGTAGACCAAAGCGAAGGGAGAGAGGGCGTGGAAACGCCAATACAAGTCTTGGGACCATCCGTGATGCGGGCTTCGCGGGGGTAAGACGTTTTAATTGTAAACAAATATGGCGACGCGTATATGACCCACCAGAAGGTATGCTGAAACTATTGCTTTATAAAATATTACTTGTGTAAAATTTATATGTTTTTGTAACTTTTAGCTATTATAAGAAACTTAAATGTAAGATTTAAGTAACGAAAAACTTTATTTCGGGTGTTATTTTATTTCTGCACTCTGTTTAATTCGGTGTTTAAAAATGGGCGTCGAAATGTTGTAAGAGAGTGTTTGTTAGCGCGCACTGCTTCCTGATAAAAAACCAATGATATCCAAAACCTAAATTATAATTTGTTATTAAGTTATGATGAAAACACAATCAATCAATCAATCAATCAATCAATCAATCAATCAATCAATCATATATTTATTTCCCCATGTGTATGTACAATAATAAGTAACAAAAACTATGTGTAGTTTGAAGGTGTTGGGCTAGAGACCTACTGGAAACCTTTTCAGGCTTTTTAATGTACGTAGGCCACTAGTTAGGTTTGTAAAAGAAAAATTGCATATATATTTACAGTGAAGAGTAATTATTGAAGTAAGAGCTAAAAGTATATACTATTTACAAAAGAAGGATATTATATCATAATATACAGTTACAAAATTACTCATTGCATATAAGTTGAAGATGATCTAGCTTACTATAACCTTTTGTAGACATTGTAAGAGTTTAATCTTTTGAATTTTGTATCTAATGTATTCCATAGATTAACCCCTTTGTTAGAAAGAGTATGTATGACATAATTAGTTCTTTTACAACACTTGTGTAGTTTTGTTGCATTTCTTGTATTGTAGTTATGAATTTCATTGTTTGTTACAAAATAATTTTCAAATGCTTCTGGTAAATTTTTAAGATAATAGTATCGATACATATAAACAAAGCAGTTAGGTAATCATTTATTTTGAAAATATCTAAAATGCGTAATTCTTCGAATATAGGTTCTGTATGTTCCGAGTAAGATCTAAAAGTTATCAAACGCACAATTTTTTCTTGAATATTCAATATTTTTTGAAATCGGGTTTTGTAGGTATTACCCCAAATCAAGTTGCCATAAATAAGATATGGATACACTAATCTTTAATAAATTAGCTTCAGTGAATTTCTGTTTATCAAGTGTCTTATTTTTGCTATTATTCCCGAGGCTCTTGTGATTTTCTTTGATACCTCAGTTATATGGTTATTCCAAGTCAAATACTCATCAATTGTTATATCAAGAAAGGTTGTGCATTTGACATGTTCTATGTTTACATTATTTACGCTAACTTTTACATCTTGTTTTAATTTCTTATTTGTAGATCTGAATATAATATATTAAGTTTTTTTAATATTTAACACCTTTGCGTAGACAAAATTATAGAGTGAGCATACATGAGATAGATAGGTTTTGAACCTTTCAAAGTTCGATGTCGAATTGACAGTTGAGATAGTCCCAAACTCCAACCTGAGATGTGCAACTTTATCGTGTATACTTTTGTCAAATTTGTTTACTATCCTTTGTTAAATTCACTTGCAATGGCTCGACATAAGTTATAACATACAAATTGAGCAGAGCCCATGAAAAAGCTATCCATACCCCTACAGTCATTAAGATTCCTTGCTATTTAGAAGCTGTTGCCCATTAGTTGAATAAGAATTGCTATTGTATGCGCTTGTTTGCACTTCCTTTCCTGAAAATGGTTACAATATTAAAGCTAAATAGCAGAGAAATATGACAAAATAATCCTTGCAATTGAAAATGTATACATGTCTATCAAATTAACTTCAAAAATCATGATTTGAGGAATTATATCTATCAGGCAACCCATAATTTAGTGACAGGTCTTGGGATGGTTGTACTACAAAACTATATTGACTGACGTTTTGGAAAAATTTAGCCAACCTTTGAAGGATTTTATTAGGTCCCGTTTACATGAGACCGGAACAAAGTCAAACCGGAATCATTTCGTTTCGGTCTATTACATATTATTTATAATAGATGAGATCGGGGCAAAAATAACTCGGACCAGTCTCAAGTCATTCCGCCTGCTGGACTGAGCCAACTGACTTCAGACCGACATGAATTCAGACCGGAATGAATGTAAACACAAATACATTTCAGACCGGTCTCGGATGTAACCTTGATATTGGAACTGTAAGTGAACAACTCATGCCAATAAAAAAAGAAAATTGCCTGGCAAGGGGGATAAATTGAAAATTTTGAGATTTTCATACCGGTTTCATGTAACGATGTTGACAATTTCAATTTTCATTCCAGGTTGGTTTCATCCTGGTCTCATGTAAACGGGGCCTTACAAACTGTGATTCAGTATCATGGGATGAGATTAAGGAATTGAAAGATTTTATAAGTGAGCAATGTTTAAAAGCAAGATATATATACATAAACAATGAAAGAAATGGCACTAACAGAGCCACAACTTATCCAGAAAAGTGTAAAATCGCATGATACTGAACCACAGTTTGTGAGACAATCCTTCAAAAGTTAGCTAAATTTTTCCAAAACTTCAGTCAATATTGTTTTGTAGTGCACCCATCTAAGGGTTCCTTTTAGCTTTTACCTTGCCAAGACCTGTCACTAAATTATGGGTTGCCTGATAGAAATAATTCCTCAAATCCTGATTTTTGAAGTTAATTTAATAGACATTTTCAATTGCATGGATTATTGGGGAATCCCGAAACATCGAGTTGGATTCGAGTTCGAGTTCGAGTTAAACTTCGAGTTACTTATACACTGGCGTTTCCGAATGTTCTGCTAATTTCCGAACAACTCCGATTCATGTTTACTTCTTCGCAACTTCAAACACGTGTTATTACGTTTATAAATGTATGGAGAATGAAACGTAGCAATGTAAATTTACTTTATTATAAATCGTTTTTATAATGCATTTTGTTGTACATCTTATACAGTAATTACTATGTGTATTTTGGAAAAGAATATATTAAAATTTGTATATTTTAAGTATTGTTTCGTTCAAAATATGTATTCGAAACTATCAGTACTATTCTGCATATCCTCACACGTAGTATTAGGGATTATCCTTAATTGTCAAATTTTCTAAAGATTAAGGATATGACTTATATTAAGTTGAACCCTAACCCCCACCCAACCCCGACTCTAACCTCTAACCCTAACCCTGGTTTAATCGTAGCCTGGCTCCAATCTAATCCTAATCTAAAAATGACTACCTTTTTTTAATATTCCCGCCTCTGCGCGTCCAGCCTCCCTAATACAACGTGTGAGGATATGTTGCATTATTAGTCTTGAAAGGTCAAGGAGAGACGGCGGTGTAGGACTACAATACTTCATGTGAACTCGTCATATACGCATCGTTGTTTTTTACAAAGAAACGCCTGGATACGGAGACAGGGTGTAGTATGCGATAGCAGACTGATCAGCACTGCCTCATTCTCGCACCCAGAGCCCTTCTTACGCGCGGTGCGACGAGGCCGGCTCTGGCCAAATGCAAATCCATAATATATCCGGTATTAGAACAATAACTTTCGTTGTAGCCAATCAGATGCCAGTTTGATATGGATTTGGCCAGAACCCCTCGTCGCGCTCCGTTGACCGCGCGTAAGAAGGGCTCTGGGTACGAGAATGGCACTGCCTCTGAGATTAGTCTGCTGTTTCCAGTGGGAGAGGGGGGCTGGGGGGGGGGGACTGGGTCAGTTTTTATGTTTGGGTGAGTAAAAAATAG